AATAGAATAGAATAGAATAGAATAGAATAGAATAGAATAGAATAGAAAATATGGAATGGAATGGAGAATAGAATAGAATAGGATAGGATAGAATAGAGTTCTTTTTATTGGGCAAGCGTGGACAAGGAATTTGTCTTTGGTGCAAATGCTCTCAGTGTCCATAAAAGAAAAGAGACCTTCGTCAACTCTCACCTGGTTCTCTGGACAAGATCCTTACCTTGGGGTTCTGCAGCCACATTTCCAGCCTCTGCACAGCCATCTGCCGTATCTCCTTATAGCCACAGGTGGCGGTCAGAAGGCGCAACAGATTCCGGGAGACGTTGTCCATCGGCTGGCGTCTGTTGAGCTGGTCCCGCAACATGTCCAGAACGTATTCCTCCACGCTCTCGGCAAGGTCGTCATACCTGGGCCAAAAGAGAGGCACCTTTTTACAAATTGACCTGGCGCTCCTAGGAGGCACTCCCACCTTAGTCCAGGACGTTGCAACCTAGAAACGTGTTTAATATCCGTACGTAACTTTCCCGGGGAATACAGGAACACAAGCAGCAGAGAAGAAGGTGCTACCTGGGCATCAGGTGGGCTTCCTGCTCAGGGCTCATTTTGTCCTCGGCTATCAACAGTTCACTCTGACTGTCTTCTTCCTCTGGAACAGAAGGATGGGGGCTGTTTCCTAGTAAGCCACAAGCGAGAACAACGGTCATCTCAGAGAATCACAGTCTGCACTCAGAGGTCACAGGGACCTATGGTTTACAGGGAAAACAATTATCTTTAAAAGGCTTTGAACCCCTGCCCACCCACTCTCTGCAGGTAGAGTTGTAGGCTCCTGAAGGGTTTTGTCCCTGCCTCTTATTAACCACAGTTTAATGTTGCATCTATTTAATCAACCATAGCAAAGGGTTATGCACCACGGTTTCAACCTAATATTGTCAAATCCTAAAGCAGGTGAATCCTACAATCCAACTTCTTTCCTTCCCTTCCTCTTTCCCTCTCCTTCCCTTCATTCCTCTTTCATTCTCCTTCATCTCTCTCTCATTTTTACTTTCTTCTTCCTTTCTTCCTTCCCTCTTTCCTCCCCTCTCTACCTTTGCTCCTTTCACTCTCCTTCACCTCTCTCATTTTTACTTTCTCCTTCCTTCCTTCTCTTTCCTTCCATCTCTCCCTTCGTTCCTCTTTCACTCTCCTTCTTCTCATTTTTACTTTCTCCTTCCTTCCTTCCTTCCTTCCTTCCTTCCTTCCTTCCTTCCTTCCTTCCTTCCTTCCTTCCCTCCTTCCCTCCTTTCCTTCCTTCCTTTTCCTTCCCTCTCTCCTTCCATCCCTCCCTTCGTTCCTCTTTCATTCTCCTTCATCTCATTTTTACTTTCTCCTCCCTCCCTCCCTCCCTCCCTCCCTTCCCAAACCCCACTTTTCTCTTCATCTGCTCCCAAGAAGTCCTCTTACCAGCACTGAGGTCTCCTCCACCGCGTCCAACCTCTCCGTGCGACAAAATACTTTTAGGGGGCATCTTGGTGCCAAAAGCCGTCTGGATGTTTTCCACGAAGGTCTTGCAGTGAGGGCTGTCCACCCAGATCCGTTCCCCCAGCGAATCCTCCATGTAAACCTAGAGAAGAGGGAAGGCACCATCGTCTCTTCCCTGAAGTGCCCCGCGTTCCCTCCATCCATCCTCTGAAAGCACGGCCTCCCCGTCAGCCCACCTTGACAAATATCTCAGGCCAGTTTTCGTCTTCCTCATAAGCCGCCATGAGAAGGTTGCAGGCCAAGACGGACACCAGGCTGTTCCCTTTGGCTTTGAAGTTGATGGAGGCATCTCGGCGGAGAAGGCTGCACAGCGCCTGGGGAAGCAAAAGGTTCCTGGGCGTGAGAAAAAAGCCAGTCGGAATGCTCGTCCTGCTGGAGGAACCTTTACAACACACCTGGACAGTGAAGCAGGGTTGGGCTACTCTTGAACTGATAAGGGGAGGCTGTATTTCCATTTTGTTTAAAGAACCTGTGTGGGGATCAGGGATAAGACACCTTGTGTAAGGTGGGGCTGCCCCGGAGGAGGAGAAAATGTTGGTGGTCCGCAATGTGCCCCCCAAAGCAATTAATCCAGGCTGTGCGGGAATACAAGGCTGCGCCACCCACAGGGCCCCCAACCTTCAACCAAGTGCAAACCTTGAGCAGAGCCACACGAGCTAGAACTGGAAGGTAAGACCAACGGCAGGGGAGGGAAATCCGCCCCAGGGTGGCTTGCGGACGTAGGTGGGAAAGTCGGTCCCATATTCCAGAGCTGCAGGAGTCACAGGACCGGTCCTTTGGTCATCCCGGAGCAGCTCCTCCAGTCCATGGCAGGTGCACCCGGGTGGAGGAGCAGCTGCTCCGGGATGACCGTAGGGTCAGTCCTGTGACTGCTGCACCTCTGGAATAGGGGACCGACTTTCACACCAATGTCCACAAGCCACCGCCAGTCAAAATTCATATTAGTGGTCCAAGCGGGATTTAAAATTATGAGTTTGGTGGTCCCTGAGGTCCAAAAGGTTGGCGACCCCTGGACTAGATGACCTACGAGGTGCCTCCCAATGCTATTATTCCAGCTCTGCCTGCCCCTCACCTCAATCACGCCTTCTGTGGCGAAGATATTTGGCTTGATTTTCGCCAGGTACATCAAGGTCAGGTAGAGGGTGATGTCAGGCTTGGCTCGATTCATTTTCAGCTGCTTCACGGCTCCGCATAACACCCCTTCGATGCGGTCATCGTTGCCTTCAGCTTCGGCGGCCTCGATCTCATCCAGCAGAGCGTTGGGGGCCACTGTCAGCAAAGGGAAATCGCTGCTGGGCAGCCCAAACTCCCACTAAAACACCCACCCACAGCTGGGTATTGTAAACAGCTACAAAGGCAAGATTTATTGGGTTCCAGACTCCCAATATCTTCCATTTTTTAAATTCTATTTAGCCAATGGGCATATCAAACTATCAGAAAAATCATTCAATACATCATCATCTTCTTTTAAAGACCCTGTAATCTGGGCAACTGAATGGAGCTGAGCATTTACTGGCCGGATGCCTTTCCTATCGCCAATGCAGAGTTTTGTTCAGCAGATATATTCTCATTGTGAGAGAGAAAGAAATATCTGCCTCTACCAAGGATCAAACTCACAGCCCTCCTGATGGTGAGGAGACAATCCTTCAATACCTACCCGATTAAATACATTGATCAATATCTGCCGCCCCCCCAGAGTTTACCTTCGATAGGAATGACCGACGGTTCTTTGATGGAAGGCGAAATGGCTCGCTTCTCAGCCACGGCGGCCTCGGCCAAACGTCCCAGGGCGCTGAGAGGGGGTGTGGAGGAAAGTTTAGGGCGCTTGGCCAGCCCGGAGGTGCTGGACAAGGCGGACGTCGCCGCCTCGCGCTTCCGCTCGGAGGGCAACCCGGACGATGTCGGCTTGAGCAAGGTGGCGGCCGCCTTGGACTCTCCCACCTGGCCTTTGGAGCCCAAAGCGATGAAGTCCCCCGGAGGAGGGTGGCCTAAGACGGGACAATGGGGGGAGAAGAAGAAGAAGAAGGAGATCGGGTAAGGTTGTGGGGAGCCCCATGATGCCTCTTTCTTTATATTTATACGTGTGTGTGTGTGTGTGTGTGTGTGTGTATGTATATATGTATGTATGTATGCAGGTCTTGGCAAACACGCCAAGACCTGCATACCTGTACCCATGAAAATCTACGAAAACAAATATACACACACATATATATATATATATGTATGTATGTATGTATGTATGTATGTTTATGTTTATGTTTGTGTTTGTGTATGTGTATACATATGTATGTATGTATATTTCACCAGCTTCTCTTATTGCTTTATAACTACATCTAATCCATTTTAATTTGCTTTGTTTTCTAGCCATTGACACACACCTAGACGGGGGGGGGGGGGTAGGTGGGAGACCCCTCCCCTTTGGAGACCCCGCTATTTTTGCCCTTTCACACGTGCCCCCCCGACACGCGTCTTCTCCTTCCTTTCCAGGCCTTTCCTCGCGAGGAGACCCCCCACCGCCACAAACGCCCACCCACCCACCGATGGGGAGCGGGGGGGGGGACCCTTCCCCTCTTTCCCCAGCCCCCTTACCGGAGGGCTTGGCGGCGGCGCTGGGGCGGCGCGCGGCCGCGGGCTTCGTCCGGTTCATCTTCGCGGCGGGGGAGGGGGACGGTCCTCCCCCCACCCCCCCAAAAGAGGGGGATTTGTGGAGGGGGGGCGTCCCTGGAAGGGAGGGGGGATCGCGAAGCTGCCGGTTTCTCCGCTTCGGACAGCCGAGATGGGAAGATAAACCGGAAGTCCTGCTGGTTGCGACCCGAAAGCGGCCCCTCTAGGAAGGAGAGCGTTTTATTTTTCGGCTGCCACCGGTGGCCAGGAGGTCGAACTGCAGCTTCTTCGCTTTAACGGAGCAGAGTCGGACGAACAACCCGGGGCCTGTGGGGCAAAGGGACGAGCACAGCGACCCCGCGCGGGCGAGAGGGATAACCGCATGTTTTTAATGATAGCAATAGAACTTAAGACTTATATACCACTTCATAGTGCTTTACAGCCCCCTCTAAGCGGTTTACAGAGTCAGCCTCTTGTCTACAACAAACTGGGTCCGAATTTTACTGACCTCGGAGGGACAGAAGGCTGAGTCGACCTTGAGCTGGTCAGAATCGAATTCCTGGCAGTGGGCAGATTCAGCCTGTAAATACTGCATTCTAACCAGTGCACAACCGCGGCTCTTAAAAATAGTTGCACTTATACACTACTTCACAGTGCTTTTACAGCCCTCTCCAAGCGGTTTACAAAGTCAGCCTCTTGCCCCCAACAATCTGGCTCATTTGACCGACCTTGGAAGGACAGAAGGCTGAATCAACCTTGAGCTGGTCAGGATCGAACTGCTGGCAGTGGGCAGAGTCAGCCTGCAATTCTGCATTCTAACCACCGCAGTACTATGGCCGTTAAAGATCCTGGATGTTTTTGTTGCAAACATTGGAATGCGTGGCCAATCGATGGAGGGTGTTT